ACTTACCATTTTTATAATTCTTCACAGCACATTCAGAATTAGTTTCCCCATTCATGGTTTTATGGTCATTGGTGACCAAGTGAACTGAAAGTTTAATCTATTTTAGTGTATGCCTATATCTTATAAGGTTTGATGCTGTTTGTTTTCTCCTCTGAGTAGTACTGGGGATTAAGCCTTCAAGAAAAAATAAATAAATAAAACTAGAAATCTAAACAAACAAATGTATAACATACATACAGAAATATTAAGGCAGCAAGACTCCATTAAAATATCCCAAATCACCAGCCACTGAATTTAAAATGCTGGATGAAAATGTCAAAAGTTTAGTGTAGAAATGATCAGTGACCTGGAATACAACACAAACATGCAGATTAACTCAGTTCAGAACCTGGAGAGGAAAATCAGCAAAAGAGGAAAAGATCAGAAAGTTAACAATATGGATGGGAAGTTGTAACATGATAAACAAGGTCAGAAAAAAAGTCTAGATTTCTGAAACTAGAAATAATTGAAATTTTCAAAAAAGAAAGAAAACGCACAATGGAAAGCACCAATAATGCACTTGAGCAACCAGAAGAAAGAATATAAAGGATGAGGACACAGTTGAACAATCAGGACATTCAAGTATCATAAGGAAAAATAAATTAGCATGACAATGTTCAAGACTGCTAGGATACACTCAGGAGACCAGCCTAAGAATCCACAGGATAGAAGGAGCTGAGATAAGAACCGAAGGCATAAGGAATGTGATGTGTACACACATGACACACACACAAAAAAATGAAAATAAAACACTTGAAGAATCAGAAATAATATTGTGAAAAATGGTCATACCACCAAAAAACAACCTACAGACCCAATGTAAACCTACAAAAATTCTAACACCATTCTCATTATTCACAGAAAAAGAAAAAATAGGCTTAAAATTCACAGGAAAATGTAAAACAAAAAGCCAAAGAAATACTGAGCAAAATAAATAATTTTGGAGGCATCATCATACCTGATTCCAAGTTATACTACAAAGCTATAGCAATAAAGACAACATGGTACTGGTATAGACAAATACATGAATGGGAAAGAGGATCCAAATATAAAGCTACACAACAACAATCACATGATTTTTGACAAATGTTTTAAAAACAATACTGGAAAAAAGATGCTTCTTCACCAAACAGTACAAGGCATATGGACTACCCACATATAGCAGATCTCTTATTTCATTCTGTACAAAAATCAACTCTAACTGAATCAAAGACTTTAATGTAAAACTTGTAGCTCTGAAACTCTTACAAAAGAAGGGGCTAGGGAAATGGCTTAGTCCAGTGGTTCTCAACCTTCCTAATGCTGTGACCCTTTAATACAATTCTTTATATTGTGGTAACACCCAACCATAGACTATTTTGTTGCTACTTTATAACTATAAGATGTGCTCACTGTGTAACTGACACTACTATGAGGGCGGGGGGTAACTCACCACTTCCTCACTGGATTGGAGGCCTAGTCCCCAGAAGAAAATTTATGTCTACTACTGTAGACCTGTGAAGCTGGTAGCTAAGGACTGGGTAGATTGCTCAGTAGTTAGAGCACTTGCTATGCAAGGATGAGAATCTGAGTTTGAATACCTATCACCCATATAAAAAGCTGCAGACATGTTGCAGATGCCTGTAACCCCAGCATTAGTAAGCAGAGAAACGCATATCGAAAGTAACTAAAACAGTGAGCATTTAGTTTAGTGCAAGACTATGTGTCAAAGCAAAGTAGAGAGGTATAGACAAAGACACTTAACATCTTCCTCTGATCTCTACATGTGCACACATGGAAGCATGCACCCACACATTCACATACAAGTACTACACACACACCATTCACACATACACATATATATGAAAAAAAGAAAGAGGGGAAAAAAAGCCCAGTGCTAGGGATATCACAGACCCTAATGGGGAAGCTATGCTGTTGTTTTTCCTAAAGACATGATATACCTACCAAACCACCTTCTAAATCTTTATACACTTATGTCAATGGTTAGTGTCCCTGCCAGCTTTGGCCAAAGAAACTGGTTTTTTCAGTGAGAAGCCAATTATTGAAGGGATGTGAAAAGTTCTGACAATAGATAACTTTGTGGGTGCCAGGCCCTAAAAGGGACATCCACATATGTCCTCCAAGGCTTAGGGCATATCATAGAAGTTGGAAAGAATGTAGGAGTTGGAGGAAGAAGAGTGACATGGAATGCTAAATTTGAGACATGACATAGCCATCAAAGTCATGATTAAGTGTTAAAGCTCTGAGGGGAAAGGTTAGCAGTCAGGAGCCAAGGAATACCACAGTCACACCACCCAGCAAACCTCACACAAGAGACAGGAGAGAGGGTGGCTGCCTCTGCTCAGGAAAGCAGCAGTAAAGAACTGGGCAGGAGACAGGCTTCATATAGGGTTTCTCAGGAACAGAGCTTTCCAGGATGGACTGGGATTAGAGGGATTTTGTGTCCTGATCTTGGGCATTTTTTTCCTATGGGGCAGGGAGGGACTAGAAATGACCTACGGCTGTTAGAAAGTCTGGGGGATAGTCTAGCTACTCATGTCTTGATGAGCTTAAAATTATCTCACACAGCTATTGTTACCTTAATAAGATCTGCCTATAAATATTCCATCATGGATTAAGGTGAGACTAATGAGGCCAAAGTGCCCAAGCTCCAGTAAATACTGCCCACTCATACTACATAAACTAACGAAGCTCAGTGTGCTGCAAAAAGAGAGGTGAGGAGAGAGACAAACTAATGAAAGTAGAAAGGGAGCTCCCTGGGATTAAGGGGACAAAAGGTAATATGAATATGATCAAAATACATTGCATACATGTATAAAATGCCAAAGAATTAAGTAAAAAACTTTAAATGAAGAAAATAATTTTTAAATGTGTCTTTAAATCAAATACCACTAAAGTACCACTAGTTTGGCAAATCTGGTTTATATATGTACATGAATATATACAAAAGCTGTTCATCACGCTTTTAAACTCTAGGACAAATGGAGGGAATAGCGACTCTTAGCCAATACTTGAGTGCTGCTATCTAGTACTATAGCAGGCCAATATTAAAGCTGATAGTGCATTTTGAAGAAATTCATTAAGTTGATTATATTTATTAATCTATGGAAAATGTATACACTGATAGTGGCAGCGGCAAGTCCACAGAGCAGACCAGACAAAGAGCTCTGCACAGTAAATGGCTAAAAGTTAGTATGTGTTCTACCATAACTTTTAAAAGATGAACACAATTATACAATCATGATCATTGTAGTATCACACAGTTAAAGCATTTTCTTATTTTATATTTTTAAGATAAACAGTTTGTTTTTAAAATAAAATTAAGGGTATCTATTACCTAACCCTCTCATTTTCATTTCCAATGCCCCCTATCATTCTTCCCTATCCCTATGAACCCCTGTTCAACTTTCATGTCTTTTTGTTATTGTTTTGGTGAATAAATCAATTTAATGACCATAATTTTACATGAGTGTAGGTAATAGCTATTTCTACCAGCATGGGCAACTTGCCAGTGGCTACAGCATGGGTAACTTAGCAGCACTGAAAGAAAACATTTCTTCCTCCTTTAACTGCCTACAAACCCTCAGGGAGGGGTGATACCTAATGAGTCACTTTCCCTTAGCTGCTCACTGCCTACAACCCTCAGTGAGATGAGACCACCACACTCCATAGTGGAATGCTGACAGCCCCAATCTTTTACAGGTAACCATAGCTGCTGAGAGACTAAAAGAACAGGAAATACTTTTATATCTTTGAATTTCTCTTTAATTTTTGAAAAAAATAACACAGAATAATTATATGTCGTGTTTCTCTTCAAATATTTTTATATCACATATCATAGCGCCTCTAGAAATTTCCCCAACATAATCCTAAAAGAATTAGAAGTTAGCCAGATGTGGTGCTGCACACCTTTAATCACAGCAGTAGGAAGGCAAAGACACACAAATCTCTGAGTTTGAGGCTAGCCTGGTCTACACAGTGAATTCCAGGACAGCCAGGGATACACACTGAAGCACTGTTTTTTTTGTTTTTTTTTTTTGGGGGGGGGAGGGGTTGAAAAAAAAGAAAGAATTAGGACTGACACAGGCAAATATTAGCTTAGTATCATTTTGAAAATCAATTGGACCTCACAGACCCTCTAGAGTGCCACAACCAGACTCTGGTTATGATGGTGTTGGAGAAACAATGCATCGTCCCTTTCTATACATTTTAATATGAATTTTTCAAATTCACTTCTAGGTGAACTTGGAGAATTTGCTAATAATATCAATATACAACTATCCAGACTCTACAAATGACACTTCATTAGAGTGTGCCAATTCATACATCTTGCTTTTTTTTCTCCATAGTTTTTTTTTTTAAATGTATGACTGTTTCATCTGTATGTATTTATGTGCACTACATGCATGCCTGCTGCTCACGAAACTCAGAAGAGGGCATTAAATCCCCTGGAACTGGAGTTACAGATGGTTGTGAACCACCATATGAAGAATGATGTGAAGAATGATGGGAACTAAATCCAGGTATTCTGTAAAAGAACAAGTGTTTACCAAACCATCTCTCCAGCCCTCCTTAGTTCTTATAATACAGTTCAAGCTAAGCTATAAATATCAGTATATGTCCCCCCAAGTACTAGGTATGTATACAATTTAATAGATTCAAACAAATGCTATGTATTTGTGTACCCCAAATTTCTATCTAGATATGGTTCTCATCTGGGGAAGTTCCCTCCTACCCTACCAATAATCCTTTACCCATCCCTAGGTTCCCATAACAATTACTGTTCCTTCCTTCCTTCCTTCCTTTCTTTTTTCTTCACACTATATTTACCTTTTCCAGAACTTTATATAAAAACATGTTCAGTATGTACTCTGTCATATAAGGCTCTCTGCCTAATTTTTCAATAATTTTTAGATCTGCCCATAGTACTTTTTAAAATTACTAGATGTTAGCGGACCTACCATAAAAATGACTATCAGGATGAGGCAGATGCCCACTATGATGAGGAAAGGAATCAGATAGTACTCCAAAGGAAGACTCAGTTCTGGAACTAAGATGACGTGGCCCCTAAAAGAAAGAAAAATTAATAACTGAGAGTAACAATTATCAAGTTATGTTATTAAAAATTAATGACATAGATCTACTCTATATCTCATTTTCTTACATAATTTAAGACTGTGGTTCTCAAACTGTGGGTCAAGACAAAGCTATCAGAAAACACAGATATTTATATTACTATTCATAGCCAGTAGCAAAATTACAGTTGTGAAGCAGCAATGAAAACAATTTTATGGTTGGAGGTCACCATAACATGAGGAACTGTATTAAAGTGTCACAGCATTAAGAAGGTTAAAAACCACTGCTTTCAGTGATACTTTTCACATTTTTAAGTCTATTTTGCACACTTTTTAAAATAATTCCTGGAGAAATATTATTTACTGAACAAAACATGCAAAAACCTATGTAATAAACTAAGCAAAAGTTCTATTTTATATGTAACATCAGCATAAAAAAAAAAAAACCACAACTGTAGGGCTAGAGAGATGGTTCAGTGGTTAAGAGCACTTGCTATTGTTGGAAAGGACCTAATTTTGATTCCCAGAACCCACATGATGGTTCACATCACCCACAAGTCCAGTTATAGGGGATCTGACACCTTCTTATGACATCCAGGGGCACTGGTCACACACAGGGTGAACATACATATATACATTCAAAAAAGCCACACATACACATAAACCTTACATAGATACATTTTCCCCAGTGACAAAAAAAAACCCAAAACACTGTTCTGTGATTTAACACTATGAATTGTTCTGAAATAACTTACTAGGCAAGAAGAAACAAGGTAAAAAGGCAAATCAGGAAGTTCTAATAAAGCAAAAATTAAAACACTTCAGAATAAAAATGGTCTGGAATTCATTACAGACATTCTCAGATGCATTGATGGTATTCAGCTCTGGATTCTAAACCTAAAACTCTATACATGCAAGCCTGCCACAGTTCAAATAATTTTAGCTGTGGTCAAGACATATTATAAGAAGTCTAAACAGTCTAAAATTGATTAAGTATTTTAAGGATCTTGAATTACAGGTTATCCTGGCTACTTCAAAATCAACTGTAGGGGAAGCTGTAGCCACGCCTTCTTAGGGGCTGGCTACAGGTGTGCCTGACCAGGCTTGTGAGGGCATGGTCAGAGTCAAGCCTGGTCAGGCACACCTATAGCCAGCCCCTAAGAAGGCGTGGCTACAGCTTCCCCTACAATCAACTTCATATAAGTTAAAGTCATCTGAGAACAGAGAACCACAATTCAGAAAACCAGTATGATTGGTCATAGGCAAGCCTTTGGGACATTTTCTTGACTAGTGATTGACATGGGAGGGCTCAGGCCACTGTGGATGGTGCCACCCCTAAGCAGGTACTGACTGGAGTTTATAAGAAAGTAGGTTGAGTAAGACATTATGAGCAAGCCAGTGAACACTGATCCTTCATGGTCCTGCTTCCAGGTTCCTGCCATGACTTCCCTCAGTGTAGGACTGTTACAAAATAAACCATTTCCTCTCCAGATTGCCTTTGGTCATGGTATTTTATCACAGCAATATGAACCTAACTAAGACATAAATTTAATACACATTCAAAATACTGCTCTTTCCTAGCCAAATTGCTAATGGTGGAGGTGGTGACAGTGACTACATATGGTTGAGAACTGTTTCCTATTTTGTATCTGCCACAGATGAACCAACAGGTTTACCCCAGATCAGTTTGGGGAACAACAACAAAAAAGAGGTGTTTAAAGAGTTACAGTGATTCCTTGCCACATTGCCTTCCATGATTGATGGGAGAGGGCCATCTGTGTATATGTTTGTTTTATTGGTTGATAGATGAAGCACTGTTGGCCAATAGGGAAGCAAGATAGGCAAACTAGGAGAGGAGGATTCTGGGAAATGTAGTAAGGCAGCATCGCCATGTGATCCCAGGAAGATAGGACACTAAGGCTGGTGTCCTTGATAAGTCTTTATAAAATATATAGATTAATGGTTATGTTTGATAATTAGGACAGAGCTAGCAAATGAGAAATCCTAGTCATTGGCCAGAGGCATTGTAATGAACATAAGACTTTGTGTGTTGTTTGGGGGCCCTAGCATGGCAACGGCTTGCTAGGGCAGCTGGCAGAAAGAGTTATTGTTACAAAATGGTGCCCCATGTGGCTTAAGAACTTCCACATAAGAAGTTCACAAAAACTTAAAAAGGGATTTTAGAAACAACAACGGAGATAAATGTTCTTGTTAGCAACATTTTCTTGGTTGGGCTCTCTCTTGCTAGAGACAAGCAGAGACTCTAGTGGTACCCTTAAGGGAGGTTTCCTAACTCAACATAAGCTGAAAAAAATGCAGGACTCTTTTAAGAGGGCCTGCTAACATTCTATGATGTGTACGAGCAGCTAGCAGTGGCAGTGACCACATGACCACATCTCCAAGCAGGCAGCATGCTACTTGATTGCAGCATAGACCAAGACAGTGAGCACAGCTCTCAGTGCTAACGCTGTCTTGGAAAGACATCAGATAAAACAGCCATGTTTTATCTTTAGTTTTAGCAATGTTGTTTAGGAGATAAAAGGGCATGGCCAGAAAAAATATAAAGATTTACAGTAAAGACAGATACAGATGAGGAAAAACCTCGAAAGGTTTACAGTGTGTTTAAAAATATTCGTAGGCTTGTGAGAGAAAAAGAAACAGGATAAAGTGTTTTTTTAAAAAAAAAAAGAAAAAGAAGAAATAGAGTAGCTAGGTGTGGTGGCACACGCCTTTAATCCCAGCCAGCACTTGGGAGGCAGAGGCAAGCAGATCTCTGTGACTTCAAGGCCAGCCTGGTCTACAGAGTGAGTTCAATGGCGGCGAAAGTTACATAGAGAAATCCTGTCTCATAAAAGGAAAAAATAAAAGTAAAAACTAAAATAAAAAATAAAAGTGTTGTCTTTGAATTGTTTAATTACTGGGTATGGAGCAACAACTGCTAAAAGACATTTGATTACCAATGCTGCTGAATTAATCCAACTTATACATTTTAAAAATTCTTTGACTTCAAAGTTTAAGTCTAAGGACAGGCTACTTGGGAAAAGAATTTCTGCTTTTGTTTACACAGAAAATGAGAAGCTGTGGATTCCTTCCAGACTAATATGGCTCCTGAAATAGTGTCTCAGGTGATCCAACATCTAGAACAGCTGAGACGATACAGCCTTGCAGACTACAAAAACAAGGACCTGACCAGGTTTCTGTGTGTTATCATGATCCCCATGGTATGGACATCGCCTCCAACCAGCAGGAAGCAGTTTGGAATGAATGATGCCCAAATTCCCAAATATTGTTTATAAATGTTTGTTTTCATTTAAATGGGTTGGTTATAAATGGTAATGATCACAGTCAATCTCTTTTTAAAGGAAAAAGAGGGAATAGGATATAGAAATGAATAATTTGCATTGGTATGGATTTTCATTTATTGATACAACTTTAAGGTCGATTTTTGTGATTTGTATATTTCTCCTCTTGTGTGGTATTTTTTTATACAGATCTTTTAAAATGTAATACATAATTAAATACAGATTATACAGTCACCTATAATAGTCAAAACTTACAGTTAGTTAGGTTTTCTAGAGATACAGAGATGTATTTGACACGGATAGATATTCTTCAAACCTTTCAAAGATGTACAGAATATATGGTATTTAAATGGTTTAGGGTTTTTCATGACAGTGAGACACAACCGCTCCTAGCACACCAATCACGTCAGAAAGATGGATTGGCAACAAAGAAACTCAATATGGAGCTTGCCTTCAACATGGCAAGGTTAGCCATTTGTGCAAGAAACTGCTCTTCCCTAGACTGTTTGATAAACTGGATATGCAGGACCCACAGGAAAGTCACTGCTGAACTTGCAAAACAAGACAGTCCTGAAGGGTTCCTGCTTTATGGAGAAGTGTGCCAGACACACTGTGGCCTATAGGCTGAAGATGGATGCCCCAACGTTACAGTGGAACTTTGGGTGACTGTCCAGGTAGTGAGATGTCTCTGTCAAATCTAGAGTTTATATATTTTCCTTCTATGGTCTTTGATGGAGTTGAAGACAGATAGCTATAGTTATGGTTTTAGTTATGATAAAAGATAAGTTACATATAAGACTTAGACTCACAAAGATAAGATAGATAGAATATTTTCTTTAAAATCTTGCTAAATGTTAATGAACTAAATACTGTAATTATAGTTCTTACTTGATAACTGTTTTGTTATATATTTTACTATGTTAATGTTAAAACCCTTTTTATTTAGACAGAAAAGAGATGATGGAGGAGGTCTTTCTGTGTAATGTTTGTCTTATTGGTTGATAAATAAAGCACTGTTGGCCAATAGGGAAGCAAGATAGGCAGGACTAGGAGAGAAGGAGGATTCTGGGGAATGTAGTAAGGAGGAGTCGCCATGTGATCCCAGGAAGATAGGACACGAAGGCTGGCGTCCTTGATAAGTCTTTATAAAATATATTGATTAATGGTTATGGTTGATACTTAAGACAGAGCTAGCAAATGAGAAATCCTAGTCATTGGCCAGAAGCATTGTAACTAATATAAGACTCTGTGTGTTATTTGGGGGCCCTAAAGCAGACAGCTGGGAAAAGAGTTATCATTACTCATGACCATGACTAAATACTGTAAACTCCACAGGGGTTGAAGCTAATATTTGGGTTTTTGAAGCAGAAAAAATGTGCAATGAAGGAAATAAGGTTTATTCTGGTGTCTGTGTGTGTGTGTGTGTGTGTGTGTGTGTGTGTGTGTGTGTGTGTGTCCTATGCAAAACACTCCATACACACCCTAGCCATTTCAGGTTAATTTCAAACCTAATGTCAAGATCTACATATCAAAACAACTTGTTAATTTCCCAAGCCCCCTGTTGACACACATAGCCTTGCCTCATCTCTTTCTGAACAATCAACACCAGCCTACTAAATACAGAGCCTTCAGAATCACACACCAGAGTCTTCTATCCATACAATTATTAAGGAAACAATGTGTGATCAGCTCAAATACTGGATAATAATGTGTATGCTGGAAATTGAACTCAGGTCCTCCACAAGAGCAATATACCCTTTAATCTCTGAGCCATCTTTCCAGTCCCCCAGCATGCTATTATTTTTAACAGTGGTTAAATAGATAGTAGTATTAAAAATGTAATAAAGTAAAACTGATTCTTAATATAATTAAAAGCCAGAATCCTATTTTGAAACAAATTATCTCACTAATGAATGAGGCAAAGATACCCCCTATCTCTAATGATTAGCTTGGTGTTAAAGGTATTGTTAATGCACTTAGATGACAAAAAGCAACTTGAAGTAGAAAACTTAGAAAGGAAAGGTGAAGCCATTCATATGTATAATAGAAAAATTATTATCAATCATAATATAATTTTGACAATCACAGATTAACATAACCATATAAACTAAGCTTTCATTTATGCAAATTAAACTTTCCTTAGCAACTGTAATGAAAGAGTAGTGTCTACCAATAATTGTAAACAATAAAATACCTCATCATAAACTTAAAAAGAAACTATAAATGGAAAATTTATTCTTAGAAACACTGATGCCAACATTAGCAACTCTCTGTAGCAGGAACATAATTTTAATACATAATGAAATACAAAAGAAACAACTGTCTGTATTAAGAGATAATTTAGCACATTATAAAACAATGTTTTCCAGGCCAGCTGTGGCTACATAGTGAGACCTTATCTCTAAATAAATAAACAAATATCAATGCAACTAAAATTATATAATTTTACTCTAATATAAGGATCAATCTGAAGTTACATGATTTTTTGATATTGATTTCTTACCCTTTTTCATATGTGAATTCATCTTTCAGGGAATTAGCTGATGCTTCACCAATAAAGACAGATGGAATGTCAATTTTCTTTAATACATCAACTGTGTAAAAGAACAGTGCATTTATTTGTAAAAAGCCAGCCAGCATTTAAGGTTCTCTCTCACAGCAGCAATTGCAATTGGAAACAATCACATCCACATTCTGAGGTCTACTGGTTGATCCTTCAGACTGCAGATTGACACTTCCCATCAAAGTGCTCAGAAGCAACACATGACATTACAAGGATGATGTTTTTCATATATACATTCACTTAGTTCTCTCAACAGTGTTATGAGATGGAGACATAATTTTCTTATCTTATTTCCATTTGACTTGCTCCCCTATAGATAAAACTGTAACTATTTAGAAAGAAAATCTATTTAGAGAGAAAATCATGAATTTAAGAGGGAAGGGGAACACAAGAAAGGATGGAGAGAAGAGAGGGATAGGAACTGCTGTGGAATAATCCTTCTGTACACTGTGTGATTGGTTTAATAAACAAGCTGAGTGACTAACAGCTGAACAGGATAAAGTTAGGTGGGAAAGCCAAACTGAAAATAGTGGGATGAGGAAGGGCAGAGTCAAAGGGAGTCACCAGCCAGATGGGGAAAGAGACAAACACACAAAATGGGATATAGGTAAACACCATGAGCCTCAGAGAAGCAAGTAGATTAATAGAAATTGGTTAAGTTCTAAGAGCTAGTTAGTAACAAGCCTGACCTATTGGCCAAGCATTTATAATTTATATTAAGTCTCTGAGTCAGTTATTTGGGAAGTGGCTGCCAGTTATTTAGGAGCAGGCGGTCAGAACAGGAAAACTCCACTTACAAAAAATAATGTAAATACAGAATTCATATATGAAGTTCTCAAAACAATTTAATTAAAAACATGATAGCCCTGAGTTGTGAAAACTACATTGAGTTAAGGATATAGCTTTTTAAAAAACTCACTGGGTAGCTGAGTGTGGTGGTTCACATCTTTAATCATAGTACCCTGAAGGCAGACAGGCAGGTGAACAGCTATATGAGTTCATGATGGCTACATAGTACCCTATCTCAAAACAAAAACAAATAAATGAAAAATGGTTATTAGTTCCTCAAGTTGGCTCATTTTCCCTGTGAACTAATGTTTAGAATAAGAAAATATTCTCATTTCAAATAAAAATATGGATGTATGCATGTGATGTAAAAGACCAACTGATATATAAGAAAGTATATGGGAAGCTAGGCATAGTGGCACATGCCTTTACTCCCAGTACCTGCGAGACAGAGGCCTAGGCCAACCTGTTCTACATAGCAAGTTTCAAGACAGCCAGGAACACATAGCGACACCCTGTCTCAAAAACAATAAAAAAGAAGTTGGAAGATGAAGGGGAAGAGGGAAAAAAAAGGAGGGAGGAAGGGAGGGAGGGAAGGGAAGCACTTCCGTCCGGCAGGGAAGCATGCATCCATCCGTTCATACAGGGACTGCTGAAATGGTTCCATGGATAAAATGCTTGCTGTATACAGGAAGATCTAAGTTTTCGTGACAAGCATCTATATAAAAAGCCCAATTCAGCACTGTAATTCCTGTAGTGGGAGACAGGGACAGGAGGATCCCTGGGACTTGCTGGGCAGCAATAAAGCTACTCAGTTCATTCTGGGTTCAGTGGAAAATCTCAAAGAAATAAGGTGAAAGGGCTGGAGCAATAGCCCAGCAGTCAAGAGTATATGCCTGCTCTTCCACAGGACTCATATTCTATTCCTACCACCGACGTGGCAGCTCACGTCATCTGACTACACTCCAAGTCCTGGGGATCCGATGCCCTCTTCTAGTCATACATGGACACAGTACAGACATGGTACACAGACACACATCCAGCAAAACACCATATCTATAAGATAAAATATACTGAGGAATAATAGGAAAAGATACCTGATATTGGACTGTTGGACTAACACACACACACACACACACACACACACACACACACACACACACACACAAAAGCATGCGCTGCACAAAACATCAAAGAAGGTACAATGTACATGGTTTTGAAATTTCACCAGAATACACTACGTACTTTATCTATACATCTTAAAATTTAATGCTGTCTAGATCTAAATAAATTACAAAAATGGTTCTACAGCATTTCTTAATTTTTATTACATTTCTATTTGTGTGTGTGTGTGTCCCACAGCATGCATGTGAAGGTGAAAGGACAACTGTCAGGCACAGATTATCTTCCTTATTTGGTTTAATAAGATTGAACTTAGGTCATCAGTCCTGACAACATGCCTTTGTTCACTAAGCTATCTTACAGGCCTTCCATACATAGTATTCCTAACAAGTAATTAAATCACTCTTTATGGCTTTTGAATTCTTAGCTAAAGAAAGTATCTACAAAGCAATAAATAAACACATAAGCTAAAAACAAACACCACCAACAAAAAACCACCCTTAGCCATTCAGAAAAAGAACAAGTCAATTCTACTTCAGTTGGGAATTAAAATTATGTTCTAACAGGACCCCAAACTTTAGTGAGCACTGAGATCTCAGCACAACTGACTCCATGATGAAAGTTCCATTCAGGCATAAGCCTTAGCACACAGACAGCACACCACCTGTCAAAGCTAAAACAAATACCTAATCCATCAAAGTCCATCCATAAGCTATCAGGAAGTCTCTAAATGTATTAACCTTGCTTTTTTTTTCCTTCTGTACTTCTGCTTCTAGCTAACTATTCTTGTTAACTGAAGTATGTCAACCCAGAACTTGGTTTTTGTGCTTAAAAGCACATCCCGGCCAGGCAGTGGTGACATACACCTATCAAGCCAGCACTTGGGAGGCAGAGGCAGGAAAATCTCTGTGAATTCAAGGCCAGCCTGGTCTACAGAGCAAGTTCCAGGACAGCCAGGACTACACACAGTGAATCCCTGTCTACAAAAACAAAACAACAACAAAAAAAAAGTTCATACCGAAGAAGGGCTACACTGGGATCCAAATACCCAGTGTAGCCCCTGACCAGCTAATAAAGACTTTCTATTGGCTTAAACCCATGCATGAGCAGTCTTCCCTGGTAAATACCCCACAACAATCCCATGAAAGCTAACAATTAGGAATTATCTGATAAAAAAGAAACTACACTATTTGAACAGAAATTGAAAGAAATTCTGTTAACTTTACTTTCAAATGATCTGTCAATCAGGAGACAAGAAAAGTGATACCTGTACTTACTGTCGTTGGATCCCATGCTAATCAGGTCATCAGAGTCTACATTGTGAACTATGGCTGCTTTGTATCCTGCTCTCTGTGCATTTAAAACCTGCAGATGAGAAAACAGTCATATTATGAGGGAGATGGTCACAAGTCTATGCTATTTGCCTAGAACCATCATGGGTATCTGTAGAAATAAAGCACACATGTTCATGAAACACGTGGATGTCTTTGGGGGACTACTGAGGAGTTCTTTAGACACTTTCTTAATTCACTCAGGGCATTAAGAGAATTCAAAGTAAATAAAGGTTAGAGATATGGCATAAGAGGACCAAAAGCAACAAGGACTCTTATTTCCCAAACAGAAACTTGCTGTGATCAGCTGACTAATCACCAGGGCCCAGGCATTCAAATCCCACCTCAATACTTACTAGTGGTATAAACGCAGGCATATTACTTTCTCTGTATGTGAGGGGGTGAGTAAGGTATGCATGTTCATGTGTGTGTTTGTGTTTGTGTGTGCTTAAAACCATACTCCACACATAGAAATGAGGCCTATAAAAACAACTTAGATTAACTTGTTCAACAATCTTATATAAAATTCCTTTCAAAAAATTAAAAATAACCTCCAGCCAGATAACCTCTAATTCTAGAGAGCTACTTAGTCTTTTCTAAAACCTCTAAAATAGTAACTGATGACCATGCAGACTTAGCTAGTTGTGTGGCAAAAGTTTGCAACAAGAAAGATTTGATGTGTCCAACCATCCTACTAGGTAGCAAGATACATGCATAATAAATATGACGTATGTCTTTATATGCATTTTCAATATTTTGGATATTTTAAAACATAAATTACATTTAAAACCTATAAATATTTTATATACTAAATATTTAATACAGCAAGAAACCATTGAAATACATCACTTTATAATTGAGGCTTCTATAAACAGGCTAATTAATTTTTTTTAATTTCTAGGCCTAATATTAGTTTTATTTTGGTTAGCAGGACTACAAATACCGAGAACTGTTGTAATTTAGTAGAAATAAAACCTATACCAAGCTCCAAAGAGGAAATCCTAGGGTTGAGTTTTCAGGAATGTCTCATCATTCATTCTCTGAACCTGACAAATGAGCTAAACAGAATGAGGCTCTGTGTTCATGTAAGTGTGGGGAGTATGGATAGTTTTATCATCTTGGTTTTTAAAAATGAATCTGTGGGAGATAGTAGAGTCTTAAGACAGGAGTATTTAGTGTTCATATTTAGGGTCCCATCATCTATAAAATAGCCCAACACAGAGTAGAACATCACTAAGTAAATGTCACTGAGTGAGTTAAGTAAATAAAGTGTTTGTTTGGGTTAAAAGTTCACATAAATGGAAAAACTGGGCAGAAAGATTTTTCTGACAAACTAATTAAAAGAAATAGCTCACTGACATAGGACCTGTAACACTAAGAACTTTAACTCCTTAACATTAGGAAGAATGGCAAGGAATCAAGCAGTTAACAAACCTAGCATAATACTCTGTACTCATAGGAAGAAAAGGTCAATAATTAAGAGAATAAGTTTATTATCTTCACACACCGTGCAGTATTTTATTTTCAGATGGATTTTTATTACCATCTAATTTTATCACCTAACTGAAACCAGGAGACCACAAGAGCCTCTTCCTCACAGAAGCCGCTGCTATCCAAGAGCAGGCAGCTCCTGGAGAAGAACACTGTGGTTTCTCCCCCTCACTATGTGCTAACTTATCATTCATTATATTGCCACAGTAATACAGACGTCTATTTTATTTAAATAAAAGCATACTTAGGTGGTGTTCCTGTTAGCTTTTCTGACACTTCAAAGACCATTTCAATTCTTCCCCTAAAAGCTAGCCAAGTAACCAAGAAGTATTTCTTTTCACATCAAAAAGCACCTTTTGCCAGATACAATTTAAGAAATGAAAGATTAAATCAATATCAAAAGCCATTTCCTGCTGATCTAAAACACAAGGTTTAAATTTTTTAAAGCTAACTACTTCTCTAAAAGCAAAGATGTAGCATGTTAGGGCTGGCAAAGCCACCACGGAAGCCACAATAAAGAGCAAGTAAGAGACCATATGTTGTGCACAATAGAGATCAAAGACCAATCAGAAGCACTGCCATCCTTATGGAGGCCTCAGTCTCCTAGACAGTCAAAGAGGTTAGATGCTGCCCTGCTTCTCACCATTGTCTCCAGCAAGCTCCATCTTAGTCTACACTAACTATAGAGCGCACTCAGCCTCGTGTCCTATTCTTCACACCTCTTCCACCCATACCAGTCATTCTCTGCTTAGAGTACTTTCATCTATGTACTTACTTCTCAAGTAGCAACATGCCATATGTTAAATTTATGCATACATGTATCGTCCTAATTCCAAAACAGGCTACCAAAGGCTCCTTAAATATTTAGATGCTACCTGTGGAGCCAAAGTATCATCAGTTTTGTAAAATGCTTTCTCATCCAAAATTATTTTTGAAATTTACTTCTTGTTGTTATTAGTGTGGTGGTGGTGGTGGTGGTGGGGTGTGTGTGTGTGTGTGTGTGTGTGTAAGTGGGAGCACAACGTGCCACAGTGCATGTCTTGAGGTCAGAGGACAACATCCAGGAGTAGTTCTCATCCACCTTTACATGGGATCAGGGAATGGAACTAGGGTAGCCAAGCTTGCACCACAGGTAAGAGTACCTGCTAAGCCATCTCTCCTAACCCTCACCCTCAAGTTACTAATACACATCAACATGAATGAATGAATAAGTTGTTAAGACTTTATTAAGCAATTGAGGAGAAATACTTACTTCACATATCAACATGCAACTGTTTCCACAAGTAAAATGCAAAATTATATTCACTAGCAAAAGCTGTTTCCGCTAACAAAATAAAAGTTCCCAAAATAGAAAATGTAAAACTACCAAAATGGAAAAGAATTCTGTGAGCTTAAGTGGGAACACAAAAAAATAAATAAATAAATTTAACAATTTCCCTCTAGGTTTTTTATTGTTTTATTGATTTTTAAAATGAAGAAGGGAAGTGAAATCAAGAGACACATTAACATATGAACCAAATGCTTATGAAAACAAACAAGGAAAATATATTCATGTTTAGAAACTATAAATCTCAAGTGTCAGTCAAATTAAATTACATTTCAACTAAGCAGCAGCTGGTATTTTTAAGACCACATGAAACAGAAATAAAATCTAAATCATTTAGTAATTATGTTCATGGTTTTACATTGATAAAATGCAACCTCAAACACATGGTGTCAGATGGAAGCAAAGGATGAAAAGATTCATGAATGAAAAGCACACATGGTAAACAAAAACCTAAATCTAAAACAGCCATCAAAGCTAAAAATTCATGAAAGAGCCTACTGAACTATATTACCAATCTACCTTTTAAGGGACTGGTCAGAGCTATTAGTTCAAATTGCAGTGAATGTACGAGTGTTTTACATGAAAGTCAACAAACTAAGTGCAACTGCATTATGTAGACCAGGTGGCATCTAACAAAGAGCTGCAAGGGAATATAAATAGGCAGCATGTCAGAAGATGGCACAATGCAAATGATAGAGGCCTCAATGAAGCAGGGTATAAAAGAAATCCTGGAAAGGAAACAATAGCTCATCTTGTTTCAATCTGAACAAATTGGTAATAAACTTATAAGAAGACAGAAGTGATTGTGTTCTCAATATGACCACGAACAAAGGACTCACAGGCATTAGAAGTTGGGAAGCTATTAATATGACATAGATAACTGAGTTCCGGAACAAAAATGTTAAGAACAAAAGGAACCTCTACCTGTTAGACATTTATGTTATTATCTCCAATGTTCATAATAGTCCTAAATCTAGATATTCTTTTCTACATTTCAGAGACGAGACAAGATAGGCCCCACGGTCAGTCACACTTAGGCAGAGCTGATACGGAACAGCATTTTATTAGGTTAGAGAGAAGCTTGGAGCTATAGTTTGGATCTACAATATCCCAAAGACCTACATTAAAGGCTTAGTCCTTAGCTTGGCACTATTAGAAAGTAGCAGAAATTTAAGATGAGTATCTTAATGGCATGTTTTAGCTGAGTGGAGGGCTGCCTTTGGGAGGGCTGTAGGATACTAGTCTATTCCCCCAGCTCTCTTTGCTTCCTGCCAACTGGCAAGTAAGCAGATTGTTCAGCCACATGCTCCCCACCAGAAGCAACAGAGTCAAGGAATCATGGCCAGAATCTGTTGACTAAAAAATGCATTTTCTCTTCATAGACTGCCTGTAATATGATAAATAAAAACCCACAGATACTGGTGTTCAAGCTTGAAGCTGAAGATCAGAAAAGCAAAGCAGCCAGTAGTTCTTACCTCTACCTCAGACTGAAAGTGTGATCCAGATAGCTCCATAAATCTTCAGACTGCAATCCTAGACTGCTTGTCACCTCAATGGAGCTGGAGACGAAATCTTTTTAAAACTGACTTTGCTTCTTCCTTTTCTGCCTCTCAAATCCTGAGATTAAAGGCATCTGACACAAAATGCTGAGATCACCTTTGTGTGAACTGTTGCTCTTTAGGATCAATTTCATGTAGCTCAGTGTGGCCTTGAACAAACAAAGATCTGTCTGCCTTTGACTCCTGAGTCCTGGGAATAAAGGTGTGTGCCACCACTGCCTGGCTCTATGGCTTATGGCTAGCTTTGCTTTCTATACCATCAGGCAAGCTTTAATAAATCATAAATAATATATTACCACAACTGCCTATCTCAAATAGTTACCTTATTGAAAGGCCCGCTGCCTCTCTGTCCGTCCCC